ATACGAGTCATTAGCAGCAGTGCAATGCATCTCATAAGGGACGGTGCTCATTGTTTAATAAGAGGCACCCTAATTAAGCTCTCCCCACATTGAAGTGCAAAATATGTTTAAAATGACGCAAATGCCATGCTTTGAAAAGCAGCAGTGAGGAACATATCTGATGCTTTGCAGTATTCATAACAAGGGTTTCCTGAGAGGATTAGGCATTTGAAGTGTTGATCCAAAGTTGTATGATTTTAGATATAAAGTAACTGGTAAGGTAATTTCTTCTAGGCACCAATCAACATTCTATGTTCTACACCAAGATCGCTCAACTGAGATTGTTGTCGGGAAACCAGGTCCTTAGTTCAACCAAGATATCTGAGTCAGAATGATTGTGAATTTCGGCTAATGCTCCTGAAGCGCCTTCTAGGATTAATAGAAGTGCCTATTGATCTAGATTGGGAGATGTCTAGGTTGAGGATGATGACAACTCATTACTAGAAGATTTTGATTTCTATAGTTACTAGTGTGCACCCTGCCTTTTTTTTTGCTAATTCTTTTTAAAATGTTTTTTTGTAAATGTTACATTATTTTTTAAAAATGTTATAATATTCCGTTTGTGCTACAGTAACTTAATGTAGCATGAATAGTGAATATCTGGATCTTCGGTAGACTAGGAAGAGTGAGGATGACAACAACTAAAAATTAAAAAAACTTCTTATTCCCGCATTTGTTAAGAAAAAAGACAAGAAAAAAATGGTGGGAGCTACAATAATTTCATGATTGGAATGAAGAAGAAAACATAAGCGACGAAAGGGAACTAGACAAATATGTACTATTCCTGTAACATTTTAGACATGATGTTAATATATTCAAGTTCCTTTCAAAAAAACTTTCCTTTTGCAACCCATCTTTAAAAAAAAATCTGCACAAGGACTATAAATAGTTGAATATGGATCTGGATATATGCATGTGACTTCAATGCAAGCACAGAGCACAACTGTACTCGGGTGTATGAGTTTACAGTTCACAACTTTGGTAAAGAAAATAAATGGCTAGAAATATATTCAACATATAACCATAAATGCAAACAGATTAACAACATAGCGATATATTTCTAAGGATATATGCACTTTAATACTCTAGCATTTCACCTGTTTCTGACATTTTACCCCAAAGTGCAAAAAAGTTGACATTAATTTCTTACAACATAGAAAAGTGGATGAGCAACATTTCTTTTATTACCAATTTTCAGTTTAGTTTATAAATTTGGAGAAAGTAAAGACAAAACTGGACTTCGAGGCATCTTATTGTCAAATCAAAGTCAATATTGAAAACTTTAAAGCATCATATTCACAAAATAGAAGATCAATGTATCAAAGTGCAAACCCCTAAATCAAACACAACTCAATTTGGTGCAAAAAATTACTTAATCTAGCAACATTCTTCAATATTTTCACCCAAATAATCACATTTCAAGTTATTTAACACTTCCCAAAGGCTACCAACATCCTGAAATGCTTACCACCAACATTTTGCACATATCGATCAAAGTAGTACCTAGATTGATTTGCCGAGAGCAATCACTATTCCGATACCTCTCCACGAGCTCGGCGACCTCCCCCTCCGTCAACGGCTCCCCCAATCTCTCCTCCCTCTCTCTCAAAACCCTATCTTTCTCAATCTCCTCATCGCAACTCGCCTTAACTCCGTCCCATTTCCGGTCCAGTCGACCGGGCCCAAACGGAGAGAACCGAGGCGGTTCTCTGAACCCAATTGCTTCCGCATTCGGGTCGGATTCGGAGTAGGAGTATCGGAAATCGAAGGGGATGTCAGATTTGATCAGGGGTGGCTTGGATTTAGAGGGAGCTGGGGGTTTTTTAGGGTTAGGGTTTTTGGGGGGTTTGGAGATCGGGGAGAACGGGGGGTCGTAAGGGCCTCGGGATTTGGGGCGAAAAAGAAGTGAGCTTTTTAGGGTTAGGGTTCTGGTTCGTTGAATTCGCTGCATTTGAGATGGAGAAAAGCTCGCTGATGAGCGTAAATTTTCTTTTTACGAACAGAGGAGGAAGACGATGCGAATTTTCCAGTTGGGCCCCCGGATATTCTAGAAATGGATTATGTAACCGTGAATGAGACTGGGCTGTTATGAGTGGGGTTTGTACTCCATAAAGGGGCCCATCTCAAACCACAAAAAGATTAGGATTAATTTAAAATAAATACTGATATTTGAAATCGGGGGTGGGATTGAGATCCTCTCCTAATGCCTATTATTTCCTAATGAGATTTGTGAAGAGTTAAGAGCGGGGCCTACAAGGATGAGTGGGGAAATAAAAGGCCATGATGAAAATGAAAGGCTAGGATCTCCTTATTAGGAGATATTAGGAGATTTTCATTAGGAGATGATCCCAGTCCATCGGGGATGTTAGTCAATTGAGACATTTTCATATGAAATGAGATAATTGTTAATAAAGTGGAATAATTTTTCGGTAGTGAGATATTTTAGTGGGATAAATAGGAACAATTTTATAAAGTGGGATATTTTGATAAAATAACGTGAGATAAATTTTTATAATCATGAAGTATATGTTTATGCATTTTGAAGATATAAATACTATTTATGTATTTTAAACTTATTATTATTGATTGATAATTGCTTACAATAATATTCTTTACTATAAAATAACTTTCGGTTAGACTATAAGATATTGACAATTATTATTATGATGATGGTCTAATGATGGTGATAACCATAATAGGAAAGAAGTAAAAAAAATATAAAAAAAATAACAAAATAAATATGAGTTCTAGTTTTTACCACCTAGTTCCAAGCTAAAACTTGGAGTAATTTGAGAGACTAGAACTCTCATTTTGTATAGAAAAATAAAAAAATTGGGATAATTTTGTGCAATTATCTCAATTCTAGTTTTGTTAGAGTTCTACTTGACTAATACTGTGAAAATTTTGTATAGAAAAATAAAAAAAATGGGATAATTTTGTGCAATTATCTCAATTCTAGTTTTGTTAGAGTTCTACTTGATTAATACTGTAAAAATTTTGTATAGAAAAATAAAAAAGTGGGATAATTTTGTACAATTATCCCAATTCTAGTTTTGTTAGAGTTCTACTTGACTAATACTGTAAAATTTTGTTCTAGTTTTAGTTTTATTTGACTAACACCTTAAAAATTTATCCCATAGATTATCCTAGTTCCAATTTTAAGTTCTAGGTGACTAACCCCAGAGCATTGAGAAAAAAATTGAAGCACCGAAAGACATCTCCTCTTTAGGATTGATGGTTAGCTTAACCTTTAACTCTGTATACAATCCGTTGTTTGTTAGGGTAATGTAGAGAGAGAGAGGGGTACTGATTTATGTCTTGACTATCCTTGCCCCTCCAGATTACAATCTGACTATCTTAAAACAGAAGAGGAACGCAAGGAACTCTTACAACCTCCACTGATTCGGAGGCCTCCCTGACTCTCTGCACCACATTGGCATATACACCATTCCTTGCTACATGGATTAAAAAAAAAGAACCAATTTGTTGTTAATCTAGGAGACGACTAAAGCAGTTGACTAGGACATACTGATAATATTATTATAGGAGAACTTTTCGAGGCTAAAAGGGCGAATGAGTTATTTAAGGAGCTAGACTCCTATGAACTAAAGTTGATGTCCACCAAACTTTCTAACCACTCATTTATTAATATAAAAAATATTTTCATATCATGCAAGGATCCCTAGGCAATATGAGTGACTAAAAAGTTTGGTGGTCAATTTTTTGCTATCCACTTAAGTCGACACAAGTTTTGCTCGTCATTTAAGAATATATAACAGCATGCATCAGAGCAACTTACTAAGCTTCATCAAAGTTGGAGAGTACTTTAAGCCTCTATTTCTCAATTCCTTTTGTCGATCTCCTCAAATCAAGGTCAGACCATCAGCTATATACATTTTAAACCAGCCTTGGATAAATTGGTGCCAATGGTTAATTTCCATTAGCATCAAAGGAATGACAGCCCTTTGTTTAGGATCATATATAGTTTCGACCACCATACAAAAGTATAATATTAATTCCCCCGATAAATTATTTTCCCACCTGTTTTATCCTGACAACGAGTCACATATTAATTACAAGAACTAGGCAGTCTAGGCTCCAGTAGCGTAGGCGATGATGGATAGGAAACATTTGAAGTGTTGATCCAATGTTTTGCTATTTCTTTTTTAAATGTTTTTTTTTTTGTAAATGTTACAGTATTTTTTTGCATCATCAACTTAGATCATTTCCTTCTACAAAGATTCAGGCTTTCACGAGAGAATGCCAATACCCTCCAATTCATCATACACTCGACGAAGACCTAGGGCAATCCCCACGGCGCACGGTCAAGATCCCTACAAACATAGAGCATGATATGTCACAATCTGATAGGTCAATTCCCTCAAAGATGATTCATTCTGACATGGCAGAGCTAATCGACTAATGCTCCTAACGCGCCTTCTAGGATTAATAGAAGTGCCTATTGATCTAGATTGGAAGATGATGACAACTCACTACTAGAAGATTTGGATTTCTATAGTTACTAGTGTGCACCCTGTCTTTGTTTTTTCCTAATTCTTTTTAAAATGTTACAGATTTTTTTTAAAATATTACAATATTCCGTTTTGCTACAGCAATTTAACATAGCATGAATAGTGGATCTTTAGATCTTAGGTAGACTAGGAAGAGTGAGGATGACAGTAACTAAAAATTAAAAAAACTTCTTGATTCCCGCATTTGTTAAGAAAAATAAGACGAGCACAGAGAACGAGAAGAACGTATATTTGGAGGAAAAAATGGTTGGAGCTACAATAATTTCATGATTGGAATGAGGAAGAAAACATAAGCGACGAAAAGAACTAGACAAATATGTACTATTCCTGTAACATTTTAGACATGATGTTAAATATATTCAACTTCCTTTAAAAAAAACTTTCCTTTTGCAACCAATCTTAAATAAAATAATAAAAATCTACACAAGGACTATAAATAGTTGAATATGGATCTGGATATATGCATGTGACTTCAATGGAGGCACAGAGCACAACTGTACTCGGGTGTATGCGTTTACAGTTCACAACTTTGGTAAAGAAAATATATGGCCAGAAATATATTCAACATATAACCATAAATGCAAACAAATTAACAACATAGCCATAAATTTCTAAGGATATATGCACTTTAATACTCTAGCATTTCACCTGTTTCTGACATTTTACCCCAAAGTGCAAAAAAGTTGACATTAATTTCTTACAACATAGAAAAGTGGATGAGCAACATTTCTTTTATTGCCAATTTTCAGTTTAGTTTTTAAATTTGGTGAAAGTAAAGACAAAAACTGGACTTCGGGGCATCTTATCGTCAAATAAAAGTCAATTTTGAAAACTTTAAAGTATCATGTTCACAAAATAGAAGATCAAGGTATCAAAGTGCAAACCCCTAAATCAAACACAACTCAATTTGGTGCAAAAAATTGTCGATCATTATAATCGATCTAAATCATACAATATAGATCTAGGGTTTATAACGAAAATCAAGAACAAGCCCTAGAAATATAAATAAGAACCATGAATAATTCAAAGAGAAGATTAACAAGAAGAATTAGCGGAATCATAACTAAATCCATGAAGAAATTCTAATTTAGGGTTTGAGATTTTCTAATCTAAAGGGTCTCTCCTTATGTTTCTCTCTAGATTGGGATTAAGAAAACAGATAATGTAACTCTTAGATTAGGGACAATAACACATTTATATAGATATTGCTATTTTCTAATTTGACCCTGTAGGCGTCAAAAAATGCTGAAAGATATCCAAATACAGCTCAAGAGGAAATCATCAAAAAAAGCAGAAGAACACAAGTTTGGGATGTCTCGCATGCGAGACAGTCTTTACTGTCTCGCCAGGCGAGACAGCATTCTCTGTCTCGCAGGCGAGACAGTCTTTACTGTCTCGCCAGGCGAGACAGCATTCTCTGTCTCGACTAGGGTTTCTGGGGAAAACTGATGGAAATGAGGTGATTTCGGGTAGGGGAGTATATATATAAGTGGATAAAACCCGACCCGAAACCCAACAAACCCGAACTGAGAAAACTGGAAAATCCTCAATGAGTCGACTCATCACAGTCATGGGTCGACTCATGACTTCCTGGGTCGACTCGTAACATAATGAGTCGACTCAGCAGAAACAAAAGGCAACAGGACTCGATTTCGTGAGTCGACTCATGAAAATCATGGGTCGACTCATGGACTAAAAACTGCATATGATGGTTCTGCTGCATATAATGAAATTTGCACACTCAAACCCATTACTGATGCACATAAACATGATCAAAATCTACGGGGTCTTACATTCTTCCCCCCTTAAAGGAATTTCGTCCTCGAAATTCAGAAATCATATCTAACTCATAAAGATACAAGAAAGACATGACAAGGGTTAAATCTAACCCGCACACATACACATTTTATAATACCGAATTCTAGTTAGCACACAGCGATATTCATCTTTAACGATCTAAAATGATGATATTGTTACCTAACCCCTAATCTAACGGAACTAGTACGTCGGGCGAAAAATCCAAACAAGGAACCCCCCATGTATATACCACGTGTTCCGAAAGATTAAGAATTAAGTAAAAGTACCCTCATTCTAGTGTTAAATATAAGTATCAAAACATAATATAATTATTCAAGTAAGAAGTCATATCGGTTTTACCTGCTCGAACAAGTGTGGGTAGTCGCGTTGCATGTCCTCCTTGCGCTCCCAAGAAGCTTCCTCTACTCCACTTCGGTTCCATTGAACTTTTACCAATGGAATCACCTTGTTCCTGAGTCTCTTGTCTTCTCTAGTAAGTATGGCCACTGGAATCTCAATAGTCGACAAATCATCCCTAAGCTCGATCTCCGGTGCATCCAACACTCATTGCCGCTCCTCATTGTGCAAGTGTTTCTTGAGCATAGAAATGTGGAATACATTGTGTATACTAGACATAGAAGCTGGAAGATCTAGTCTGTATGATACAGCTCCAATGCACTCCAAAATCCGGAAAGGTCCAATATATCTCGGTGCAAGCTTCCC